GAAATCTCCCAGGCTTCTTCATAGCCATTATTTTTAACGTAAGCCTTTGGGAGCACTGAAAACCCAAACTATCGACCCTACCTTTCTTCCCCCAAACCATTACTTTTTCAGGAAACGCATCTTCTTATGAGCTTCTAACCTATTCTGAAAGCCTATCATAGTTTTTGAAATAATATCAGACAAATTACTTTGAACCTAACTTAGATAAACATAACATTTACATGCAAAGCAGAAACACTTACCATATGGAGACGCTCCACCAACTTTTGATCCCCTAGACAGTTGTTTGTATCAAACCACGAATCAAAGTCCTGTATCAACAAAATAATTCATACGTATGAAGTTCCCTTTCAAGGTATATTGCAATTATCACTGCAATGATGAGTAAAAATAACTCAGTGATGCTGTTACACAGTTAGTAAAGGAACTGATCACCTCTTCTGATCTGCCTCGCTTTGCTTTCAACACGCAGTTCAGCCATATCTCTTTTTCTACTTCAGCTTACTATGAACTCTCCAAAAAAAAAAAAAATCAATTTACCATCAAGTTTTTTAAGACTTAAGCTGCTTTTACTATAGAATAGCATGCCTCAATTCTCTTTCTAGAGTAAAACCAACAGCTTAGGGCTCACAGACATTAATCCACCTAACCCCTCTTCAAAAAATATTAAGAACACAAAAAAGAGGTGCTACCTTCTCCTTAGAAAAATATGCAGTAAGAGTCCGTGGCCTCTACTAGTTAGTTTGTGCTAACTTTAAACGACATGTGCCTGTCACTTGTCAGAACTGTTACCAAATTTAGTGATCTAGTTTCCTTAATTCTTAAAATTACCTGCACTAATATATTATTGATAATCATACTTCTTTAGGTGAAGCTTTCAAAGCAATCATCTGTTTGTTCACCTTGATGTTATTGTTAGTTGTGTTTACTTACTCCTCATTATTCTTAGAGCAAGATGCCTGTTGCTTACGACCATTTTGTTCCTAACTAGTGCAGCTTTACACATCAGGTATTCTATACAGAAGCGTTGGTCT